ATTATTATTATTATTTGGTGATTGGGGGAGAAGGCTTTACTTTGGTCAATTGAACGCTTTGAGAAAGACCAGAATTCCTTGACGATTGAGTCCTCGGTAGACGTCAAGGGAAAGACAAGTTGCTTGCTCCTATCGTTGTATGAGTTTCAAAGTAAGATACTCTAAAGTCACATCCCAGTTACAGTCTCATTGGCACGAGCAAAGCACAGTAAAATATACAAACAACCCACATATTAGTAATAGGTGTGTTTAGGACAGAGCCTCACACAGTGTTTAATTTTATGGTAGGAATCCTTTTGCTTGAGTGAAACACTTAACCTTCCAAGGTAGGGTGAGAACATAGCAGACAAACCATGTGACTAGCATTAGAGCTTGGTTCAGACTTGTTTTCTTTCCATTAGACACTATTAAAGTTGGTATAATTTGTGCATTTGAACTGGGCATTTGGCATCTATTTTTGTTTAAAAAGAGAAGCCCTTCTTCCCTAATTTGGGAAGTCCAGGTTAGTATTTCACACACTTAAGAATCTATTTGTAATCTCAGGTGTCAGATAACTTGCAAATGGAACCCCAGAGAATTGTCCCTCAGGATCTCCAGGATCTAGGCCATTCTGTGGCCAGTGTGGACCAAGGCCTGCTGGCTGGAGAAGAGGGAGCTAGGGCTCTACCTGCTCCCCAGTGCAGAGCTGGGGAGGAAGTCATGTCCAATTAAACCATGGACAAAGAGATCCAACTAGTCTCCAGATGTTTACACTAACTGGCTAGTCAACGTTACCAGTTTGCCAATATTTAGGACTATATGACAATTGGCGGATTTCCCCCCCTCCGGTCCCCCTGGCCCCTGGAGACTTTGGTGTTGTGCAGGCAAAAACCCAGAGTACCACTGACAACTCTTGATTTATTTAAACGCTTCTACAGCTCTCTCAGCAGTGTCTTGGGCTCGTACTATGTCTTTCAGAGCCTGGACTCTTATTTATGAGCCTGACATTATTTTTTTCTGACCTCTGTTGACAGCTCTGGCCTCTGGCATGCACTCTGTTTAGTTGCTGTTTTTATTTATAATTTACGCTCTTCTGCTTGACTCAAACTCCTTGATTTGTGACCTGGTCACACTTGCATTGCTCTAGCTAATGTGAAATCTTATCTTATTCTCTAATATCTCTCTTTCTGTCCATAACATTTATTTGGCTTCTTAAATTTTCGTTTTGCTTTCACTCCTCCTAATTACAGATTTGAAATGTCTGCATTATACTAACAAGGAACAGCAGTTCCAGTGCAGAGAGACCACTGCGAACCATACCTTACATATTTAAAGCACTTTATGATTATATAGAGCATCTCCACACACACGGTATCTCACGCGATCCTCACAACAACCCTGTGAGGTAGGTGTTAAGGTGCCCATTTCGCAGGGAGGGGAGCAGAAGTGGTGAGATGCACACAGGCACACTCTGAGAACTCTACTAGGACCTAATGCTGTGAATCCTCGGACTATGTGTTAAACCTTGAAGGACAGAGGAGCTGTGAAAATGGGACCTATTAATAGAGAGATATTCAAAAATAACATGGAATCCCACATTATTTCAGAGTCATTTTTTAAAAATCTGTCTTTTCTGACCTTGTCTCCTTTCTCCGTTTGTAGACCTTTTTTCACCTACACAAAATATCTCCAGTTCTAGTGAAATATTTCTTTTTCTCCAGGAACTATATTGGTTATTTATAGCACAAAATAAAAAGAGCTTTTTAGAATAATAAATTATCAGCATTATTATTTCATGATCGCAATCCCTGCTTGCAATGGCCAGATAATTTAAGAAAACAAGTTTTGGTTTTGATTCAAATGTGTTGAATGAGCTGTTCAAGCTCCACTTTACCTCACTATAAAACTTGGGGGGGAAAAAATGCTGTAATTTGGACAGTAAGAAGACAAGAAGGTAAACTAAGCAAATCAACATAATTTTCCTTTTTAATATTTTAAGGCATTTAAAAATCTTGATCTCCTCTAAACATCTATAGAGCCCTGTTCTTCCTCCAATACAGTTCCGCTGTATTGTATAATTGCTTATTTACACATTTATGTCTTTGATGGACAATGAGCTCTCTAAGGCCAGACACAATAGCTATCTTATTAGCTATGAAGTCCAGCTCCAGGAGGTACAGAATAAACATATGTTGAATGAATGACAGAATAAATGGATTTCCTTTTATGTTACCCCTATCTCTGGTTGAGAAGTGTTTTTAAGTGTAAAGAACCCACATCTAGTCAGTACCCATGAGGTTTCTCTTAGGACCCAATGGGTTAAATTGGTTCAGCAAGCACTAGATGAATGGGTGGCAGAGGACTCCTGGCCTGGCTCTGAGGGCTGGTTGGAAAAACATGCCAGTCAGTGCAGTGGAAGGCATCCCAGTTAGGGATGCTGGGCGATGGCAGCGATGCTGCGATACTGGAGTGGGGAGGGGTATGAGCATGAGAACAGAGTCCCAAACAGCGCCCAGGACCAGGAGAGGAAGCCACGAGGACGCCGGGCACCACACGGGAACCATGTCGTTTGGAAGAGCCACAAAGAGATCTTGGAGTCAGCTGTGCTGGTGATTTGTCCAGAGGCGAAGGGCCTTTTAATGAGATGGTAGCAGAAGGTGTCCCGCCCAACCCACCTGATCTTAAAAGGGCCCTGCCCTAATATGATCAGGGAGTGGAACTGGTCCTGACACATATGTAAAAGAGGAAATCAATTATTATTTGTATTATATTTAAATCATGCCTGAAAAATATGAAAGAATGTATATTAAAATAATTTAATATAAATTTTTATAGATGTGGGGAATCAGGCACTTTCATACAGAATAAATTGGTATAATCTTTTAGGAGCCATTTTCAAGAATCCATCAAATGGTAAAATGCTTGCCACTTTTGAACTCCTGATTCTACTCCTGGAAAATTCTCTATTAAAAAATATTTGCACAAGATCATGTATGAGAATGCTGTATGTAGCATTGTTTATTAAAGCCAAACCAAAGCAAGCAAAAATCTTCAAGTGTTCATGACTAGTGGATTGAGGGATATATTGGGGTAATTATGGTAGAGCTGTATCATGGAATAATGTATAGCTATTGAGAGCCAAAAGATAGAGCCATATGTACTGATAGGTAGATGACTAGCATATTAACTTAAATAAATAAAAAGCAGAACACCCTGTCTAGATGTTTGTGTATATGATTCTTTCTTTCTTTTTGAAATATTATAGTTATATACTCTCCATGGAGTCTGCAGGCTATATACACTTATATACAGAAATATCTCTCTTAATGCTTTCTCAAAGAAAGAATGCACATAAACTTCAAACAGCCATGAAATTATCTGTAACTGAAAACACTTCTGAAAAAAATGTTCAAAGCATTTGATAACCTCATGCAACAGAAGACTGTGTGTGTGTTCAGTTTACAGGCAACAAAGTAAAGAAGTCCTGTATTTGCCAAGATTAACCAGAGTCTAAGTTAAGTAGCTCAGAGAAAATCTCAGGAGGAGAAGGGGAGATAAAGGTGAACCAAAGATAAAGGCAGAGATACACAGAGAGAAAACCGTGGAGATGGGGAAGAGAGAGTGATACAGGGAGCTCGGCTGAAAGTGGGTGGAGTGACAAAGAGAAAGGGGAAGGAGTGGATAAAAAGTGCACAGCAGCCCGGCCGGCGCGGCTCAGCGGATGGGCGTCAACTGGGACCCAGGAGATCCCGGTTCGATTCCCGGTCAGGGCACATGGCCGGGTTGGGGGCTCGATCCCCAGTCGGGGGTGCAGGAGGCAGCCGATCAGTGACTCTCCTCATTGATGTTTCTCTCTCTCCCCCTCTCCTTTCCTCTCTCTGAAATCAATAAAAACATATATATATTTTTAACGTATACAGCAGACAAAAGTGATCAAAGGAGAAAAGATATATGTACTAATGTTTCTACTGTTTTAATATAATAACAATACTAATAATCATTGAAAACCACTAAAGCCCTTTAAGGAGACACATGATGTTCAGTGTTACGTAATTCAAGGGAAAACAGATCAACGATGCAACATTTACGGAAAGCGTCATGTGGTTACCCCATACTTCGATGTCTGGCATTCACAATGGTGACCCTAATTTGTCTAAAGGTTGCATCTGTACACAGTATTAGGTTAAAATCATTACCTTTGTTAATGCAGAGAAAGTGTACTGTATTTTTTAAACAATAATTATAGCAGAAAACTGCTAGATTTTTGGTATGTTAAAGGATTTGGCATGATCTGTCTAAAACAGACCCCTACTGGGTAAAGATCATGATCCCCATGTATGTGTATCAGGTACTCCTGCAGACATAGGTTCAGCCAAGATGATAATTGCCTTTGGCCTGGCATCTTGAGGACATCTCATCTAATATTTAGTTTTTGAGGCCCAATTTAAAGACTCTCTACATTGCAATATGAGGTTAGGCCTCCATTGAACAGAGATCCCTTTTGCGAAATCTCTTCTGTTGTAGTTTTGAAGGTCTCAGATATAGAATCCCACTTTTGAAGTTTTTGGCAAAATAAAACAAAACACAAAAGCCCCACCCATCTGAGAATCAGTCTGCCGGGGTTCTCAGATTGTCCAGATTCCTATATTAATATTTCAGTTAGTTAATACGTAAGGAGGCTGCAACTGTTTCTAATCATAAGCTTGACTTTCCTTCAGCAGATATAAATTGGCTTGAAAATGGAACAATTTTCTATGTGGAATTTTTAGAAAACTGGGCTCCTCACAAAAAACAAAATACAACTGGGTAATGATATTCAAAGAGTTCTATAATTTTGATCTGTTTGTTCTACTCTAATTGGCACATGATGTGTGTGGGAAACTGGCTGACTTGCACAGAACCCTTGCGGATCGATGATGGAGTTCTTTCTCAAAGTTGCCTCCAGCCCAGACCACTACTATCAAAGCTTGTTTATTACAAAGGTGAACAAGAAAAATAAAATCAAGAAACTATAAACTTACATGGCATGCTTCTGCTCCCTTTTTCTCCCTTCTGGCCTTTTTGTCCAGGGTTTCCTTGAGGGGTAAAAAAGCAAACAAACAAAAAACTCTCTTTAAAATCAGGGCAATTCCCAACGCTTGCTTTCAATGGAGGCGGAACATCACAAAGTAATCTGGAATATCACTTTCTAACAACCTACAGAAACTCAAATATAATAACAACATCCATGATGATGATGATGATGTTATTTTAGAAACCCTATTACAAACCTGGCACTGTTCCAGGTCCATCCTTTATATACATTATGTTAAATTATGTGCAAGGGCATTAAATGTGCCAGTTTCTTAGAAGCAGGCAAAACAGGTGTAATCAACCTGCTTTGGACTTGGTCATCTTTTTTCATTTCCCCCCTCTTCCTCGGACTGGGCCTTCCTCCCTCTGTCCCCCAGGAGCCCTGGTCTCCGACCTCCATCTAAACGGCATTGTTCTGTTCCCATTACAATGCTTCTGCCTTGTTTCCCATCTCCTTGGAGTGGGGCATCCCAAAGGCTGGGCTGTGAGTGAATTTCGGGGCGTGCAGTCCCTGACCTACTGAATCAGAAACGCGGGGGTCAAGCCCAGCAAGCGGCCCTAACGGGCCTTACCGATGATTCTGGTGTCCGCTCAAGTTGGAGACCCACAGACCTAAAGAAACTCCGTGCACCCTCAGATCAGCACGGACACCGCAGCACATCTTGCCGCACAGAGTCAACATCCTCTGCGCCCTGGCCCCGCAGCCTGTCGTCCTGCTTCCCGAGCTGCTGACTCACCGCCTCGCATCAGAGCAATGCCTGTGCGTTTCCCTGCTGCCTGACCCTTGAAGGCGGGGGCTGTGCTCCATTTATCTCCAGCACACAGTGAACTCTCATAAAACTGTGTCGACTGGGTGCGTGAATGAATGAATGAATGAATGAATGAATGAATGAATGAATGAATGAATGAATGAACGTTCTCCCAAGTACTCTGGCTAGTGGGCACTTGTTGAGCTCTAGGAGTCTGAGAGCAGAAAAATGCCGAACACTTGTATAAGCCGTAGCTAATAACCAACGTGTATATCCGCCTTGCTTGGTGATAAGAACCGTTGGAAGCATGTTGAGATACCTATTGATTACTCACTGTTCATAGTTATAGTCACTTATAAAGTAAAAGGAAGTTATAAATAAACTGTACTAGAAAGAGTCCCAAACACAATCTCACCATGATCTGATTTTTATAGAAATTCTAAAATGTGGGTCCTTTCATTAGCACTGTTTTACAGATAAGAAAACTGAGGCACAGAGAGGCTCGCTGTGCGGAGAGGCAGGACTCAGACACAGGATTCGAATACATGCCGTGCTCCCTCTGCGAGGTGAAAATGTGTGGGGTGCCACCCCTGCATTTCCCAAGAGGGCAAAGAAAATATTATACATGGAATAACTATGTGCCCCCAAGAAATTCAAGGGCAAGCCACTTGGGCAAATGTTTAATCCCCCAAAATGAACAACCTAAGATTAGATACTTCACATAAACTTTACAGAACCATCTTTTTAAATTAAACTTTAAAAGAGAGGTCCTTGTGAGGAAATTTCTGGAAGAAAACTCTTCCAGGGTGGGAACTAGCTTGTGAGGCCGCGCAGGGGTGGGTCAGGGAGGGAGGGAGTAAATGAGGAAGCTGCTTCTCCTGAAGTCAGATCGGCTGTGCGATAGCTACCCTGGGGTTCACTCCTAACTTTTTCCCCCGACCACTTAAAGAAAAACATTGTGCAAAATAGAAAGACTGTTGCGAGAAATAGTGAGGCCCTCTTAACATTCCTAAAATTTCTTCTTCATTTCCTCTTTTTGTGTAGATTTCTAGAAAGACAAATTAGTTCATCATAAAGTTAATCATTATGATTTAATGTCAACAGGAAGTTACAAGTAAACTGCACCAGAAAGAGTCCCACGCAAAATCTTAGTATGGCTTGCCGAGGACGGTAAACGACTAGCCACTGGAGACAGACTGTAGACTAATACGCCATTTTAACTTCAGACTTAGAATACAGATATGTTTCCTCACTGCACAGAATTATTTTCAGTTACCTTGGAATCTATAAGTAGCTTTGCAATTTTGGCAAATTCAAGATTTTTAAATATTTACCTGTTGAACCTAAATTGCCCATATAGGAAATGCATAATTCCTGAGTGATGCAGATAATTTCCAACAAATGAACAAACACTTCTTCTCATGTTGCCAAAAAGGCCTGGTTGACGTGAGATGGTTTTAGAGACGGCTGGTACATAAATACACCATTCAGTTTGGGTACACAGGTCTCTGGTGGGAACTGAGTGTAGGTTGCTTATTTGTGGCTAGCTGATTTTTCTCCAATCCTAATGCCATTGACACAGTCCATAAGCATGGACTCTGTCAAAAATACCTCAACACACCTGTTAGAATTGCTAAACTCCAAAACCCTAACACCACCACACGCCTGAGGGTGCGGAGTAACAGGAATTCCCATTCACATCTGGTGGAAATGCAAAACGATACAGCCACTGTGGAAGGCAGTTCGGAAGATCCTTACAAAGCTAAACACAAGTTTACCACACAACCCAGCAACAGCACTTCCAGGTAAACTCGCGTCCACACAAAAAATGTGCCTATGAATGCTTAAAGCTCCTTTTTTTAAAAGATTGCCAAGACTTGGAAGCAACTAAGGTGTCCTTCGATAGATGAATGGATAAATAAACTACAATACATGCATACGATAGAATATACTGTGCATTAAAAAGAGCTATCAAGCCACAAAAAGATATGCAGAACTTTAAACGCATTCTATTAAATTGTTAAGTGAAACAAGCCAATCTGAAAAGGTTACATATAGTTTGACTCCGATTATATGACATTCTGGAAAAGGTAGAAGAATGGAGGTAGCAAAGGATCAGCGGTTGAAAGGGGTTGGGGAGGAACTGGAGTGACCATGAGTAGGTGGAATGGACCGCAGGGGATGTTTAGACCAGTAAAACTACGCTGTATATTATAATGGTGGATACATGTCATTATACATTTGTCCGAATCAGGGTAAACATCGCCAAGAGTGAACCCTAATGTACACTGTGGACTTTAATTAACAATAATGTATCAATACCGGTTTGCTGGTTGTAACCAATGCACCACCCAGTGCGGGTTATCAATAGCGGTGGCTGTAGTGGTCAGGTGGCATCCGGGAAGTCTACGTTTTCTGTGACATTTTTCTATAAAACTGAAACTACTCTAAAAAACACAATATATTTTTTTTAAATGATAAATATCATGTTCTCTTGGTCATAATTTACTTTAAATGAGGAAAAAATAAACCTGCTCGAGTCTAAAATTTCTGTGCAAAGTTCATAAATTCAAGTTTAGGCTACGGGCTAGTATAAGAAAGAGAAATAACATCCTCATGTATGTAAATTTGAAAGGCCCTGAATCAGGCTGATCGTTAAGTAGTAATATACAACAGCGGGCAGTTGATCTTGCATAGGATGGTTTTTTTGCTAACTATAACTTAAGAGGGTTTGGCCAGTTTGGGTTAAAGCAATATTTATACTTTGCTTGTTTTCCTTTGCCAGCCTTTCCACTCTCTTTGTTCTAAAATAGACATCATTCTTCATGGTGACTTAAAGTTGTGTGAAGTTTATAGATCCTCTGTTGTTGTTTTAACTATTTTCTTTGGGACATAGAAACTTCAGGAGGATAATAACCTCTTTTGAAATGCTGCAGACTACTGAATATACTGCCTGTGAGTGCTACTAGTCACACTGTGATGACCACTGTTTCGTTATCTAAGAAGCTGAAACAATATCTACGATCTAGTATTGATTTTATATACTCTATAAAGAAAATATACGTTATCATAATACCTGGCCGCCCAGCCTTCCCCGCGGGTCCTGAGAATCCTCGACTTCCAGGAAAGCCAATAGCTCCCCGGTCACCTTTAAGACCTGGTGCACCTGCATGGGTAATGAATGAAAACACATGGTAACAATTCATTTTTCATACAGACTTCAGAGTATAATGAAACAAATTCATTTCATTAATGAATATTATAGGTGAATCTCCAAATGGAGTAATAGTATCTTTCCTAAAATTGCATACACTATCTAAACAGTATGTAGAAACATTCATTTTATATCTAAACAGTAGGTAGAAACATTAGTGTATTTAGTACAGTGTAGGTTTTCAATAAATAACATTGTTATTACAAATAAAAACTTATCAGGAAAAAAATCTTGGCGTTTTAACCGGAAGGCTATGTCGTCTAATCAGGAATCTTCAAATGGCAGGATTCTGCTCTCACTATAATGATAACTTTTCAATGTATAAGCTGAAAATTGAAGCCTTAAGATTTGTCCCAGAAAAAGCACAGCTCAAGCAATGAGAATTATCAGAGTATTTATTTTTAAAAATTGGGGTCCTAGTTCTAGAATATATTACTATAGCTCTCGTAGACTTGTTTTTAAGTATTCCATTGTAATCCCAAACAACAATGTAGCTATGCATACACACACACACACAAATAAAAACAGCTGTTTTTTACCCTAAATCGCTGTGGTGACTATGAAAACTGCATATAAAAGCAAATATTATTTTCCTGTGGAATAAAATATTCCATTTTGAAGTCCAGTAGCTTGAGATAAATTATTGTAAAAAAAAAAAATCCCATTTTAGGTGTGTTTATCAGTTCCCAGAAATCCTTGGGAAGTACGTTATGAAAAATTGATTATACATCTCTGCCAATGTCAATCTCTTAGTATATTGCCACTAATTTACAAGTTCCAGGAGGCAGGGCTTTTGTATATTTAATTCATTAAAATATATTTTCTTAGGTTCACTCATATAGACACCAAAATTTGGGCTAACTGTTCTCTAAGAAATACTCAGTTTAAGAAGTATATTATTCTAAATAGTTAAGAAATATTATTCAACCTAGTATAAATTTTGGACTTCAACAGATATCAAGCAGATATTCAAAGCAATAAAATGATAAAATATGTTTAGAAATATTAGTAAAGTCAGGACATCTCCATTTAAGTATACAATATATACTATGTTGTATATGCACATATATAGATAGATTGTATATATAGTATGCACATGTGTGTATATGTAGTGAATATATGTATGTATATGTATATATACACAGTATGTTTATATATGTATATAGTTGTATAAATAGCATACAGCCTAAGAAAGACCTAACATCAGTTTTCAAAACAGGCTGATAGGCTAATATTTATACCTTTCTTCATTCTCCAAGCAGACAGACCTTTGCACTTGTAATTATTAAGATCTGTCACTCAATTTTACAAATAAAAACAGTGACTCTCAACTTTATTTCTTTATCTTAGAACATCCTCTACTTTCTATAGAGTGCTACTCACTGGTGACTCCCATTTTTACCATTTTCTCCATTAATGCAACAATAAAATACTGAGCGTGCACATTGCTCCAGTTCCTGCCCATTCCTGGAGTTACAAAGGTTCTTATCCAAACAGACCACCCAGTGTGGAGACAGGTGATAAGAAAGCTAACAAATAAATACAGAAGGTAATTTTGGAGATTAAAATTTTAGAAAAATAAAGAAATGTAACAGCGAATGCCTCAGGGGATCAGAAGGAGCCCCTCCAATGATGGCTCACTGGGTCCATCACAGTGACATTCAGAACGCAGCTCTTCAACCTGGGATTGTGTTACGTTTTCAATAGGTGAACAAATGCATGCACAAGTGAAGCACATGCGATAATAGAAATTACTCCATTAATAGATCTCTATTATGGGAGACGTTTAAGCAGACTCCATAGAGCCCACAGTTATGTGACTAGTTTGTTTACTGATGTTTGAAAATGTGATCCCCTAATATAAGCACTGCCATTGAATTTTATTCCAAGAGACCAGATTCCCTGGGCCTTTCAGGGGGCAATTAGCTAGTTTCTGCAATAATCTTCAGCAAGGGGGAAGGGTCTGGCACCTGCTTTTAATCCACAGGCAACACAAGTACATTCTACACAGAATCTCAGCTATGCAATGTTAGTTTCAAGGGGCCTTACACTTCATTCAGTTCAAATCTGTCATCTTCTAGAGGCAGGAACAGAAGACAAGAGAGATCCAGCCGTTTATGTAAAGCTGGTCTGACCATTATTCACACATCCTGGGTCCCCAGCCCTCCAGTCAGGCTTCTTTCTGCCGTCCAGCAGACTGGTTAAGAACACGGACTCTGCAGTCGTGTCCACCTGGGTTCAAATACTGGCTCTGCCATTTACCAGCTGCCGCTTGATCTCGGGCAGGCCACTTAGCCTCCCTGTGCATCTGTAAAATGGTATGTTATTTGTCCCTCTATCATGTGTTTGATGTGATGATTCAAAGAGCTAATTAGTTGCCCTGGCCAGTGTGGCTCAGTTGTTTGAGCGGTGTCCCTCACTCCAAAAGCTGCCAGTTCGATTCCCAGTCAGGGCGCTAGGCCGGCTTGTTGGTTTGGTCCCTGGTTGGGGTGCATGCGAGAGGTAACCGATCGATGTTTCTCTCTCTCCCTCTCCCTTCCTCTCTCTCTAAGAATCAATAAAAACATATTTTTTAAAAAAGAGCTAATTCCTGTAAACCACTTAGAAAAGGTGTCTGCCTTATGATAAATGCTTTGTCTTGGGTCTCCTCTCCCCCCTTCCCTTTCTTCCTCTCCCCCGCTTCATTCCTCCTTCCCCCCTATGGTGACCTAATCATCTGGAAGAGTCAATCATCGCCCCAACAAATGAAATCTTTCTGTCAGGAGGGCCTGGATAATGCCTATTTGTGTAAATGAGCAGTACCCACTGCAATAGGCAAAGTCCTCACTACAAGAATCAAAGCAGCTTTGCAATGGCACGTGTTTGTGGTATTAACTAGAGCTAAAGCTTTTTAAATCCCTCTTTGTATTTCATACATCCATAGTTCAGAAATAGCTGCAAAAGATGCTCCCAGATGAAGCTTTGCAGGGCAAGTTGTAGCCCAGCCTGCGCTTTTAAGGCTGAATTATGAAGCGTTGACAGTTGCACTTTGTAAGGGAGGAGCTGACAGGCCTCTGACAACAGCAGCTCTGGCAGCTGACACAATACTAGTTACTTCACCTGCTTATGACATTAATGCACCATTAAGATCTGCTCAATGCTAGTCAAGTAGAAAGATTTTCTGAATAAGGAATCTTACCTGACAGTCCTTTCAAAGGCACACAAACAACCCATTATATATACTATATAATAGATAATTTTTTTCTTTAAAATTATTTTTAAAACATTTTCATGTAAACTTTATATATTGGCTTTTTAAACACTATGTAAAGTTCAGGCAGGTGTAAAATCCATGCTTTTCATTTTTAAAAATTATTTTTCTGATGTAATCTGTGCTTGTCAATACATTGATCAGAAAAAAAATAACATTTTATATAATCAGAAGAGAGAAAAAGAAGATGAAATACATGGTATTTAGACACTTTTCTGTCAGCACAAACAATCTAGTTATAATTAGACCATCCAATATACTCCTCACTTTCAAAAGGCTTGTGGGGTATTTGATTTCTAGCCAAGAATAGCATGAAAATCATGTTACTGTTATTGTCTTCTTATTTTCTTGAGAGCAAAGAAAGTTTATGCTCTTTCTCCTTTTCAGTCTTGTTACCTTCTTTCAAAATATTGCCTTCAAGATTGCAACACAGACAGAGGAAAATGATTTGAAACAATTTTGCTCCGACTAAAATACAGAGAATGTCTGACAGCAAAGGAAAAAGTTACCAGCATTGTAGCCAATATTTACATTTGGATTTCATAGGTTTATGCAGATATATTCCACTTACGGACTATACGAGAAATAGAAGCCAATTTGCCTTTGACTTATGTGTATATTTTTTGCATCTTACAAACCAGATAACTTGCAAATAGATCCAACGTGAGGATGATTTTCATGTTCTCCTTCACATGTGATCTAAAGCTAGGCCATGCACCGTCTGCAGCCCATGGGATAGAGAGCACTCCCTAGATTTACGAGGTTCATCAACAACCCCACGTGGCTGCTCTGCCCAGAGCATTTACCTTTCTTCAGTCAGGGCTTGCCACTCAGTACATCAGAGTGATTAGCTGCTGGGACAGGTGTTACGCCCTTCACCGCATACACACACCGCACACACACATGGATGTATAAGGAGTAACTTCTAATACCGTACCTACTGGGCCTGGGATGCCTGGTGGACCAGCTTCTCCAATGAGGCCTCTATCGCCCTTTTCACCTGGGGGTCCAGGAGGGCCTTTAAAAAAGAAATGACAATTACTGGTCATAGTTTTAAAGCATAGGTAAAGTGGATTTGTCATTTGTTAAGACAACTGTGTAAGTCAATCCAAAGTCTTTCATTTGTTACACAATAAGGCAGAATAAATACGACTGACCTTCCCCAATAGAAACATACCTATGTTGAGTAGTGCAATGCCCTATACTGATAAGAAGGCCACAGCCCTAAATTAGACAACTTGATTATGTATGAATATTATGTGTGCCTAGTACTTTTCTAGGTTCTCAGAGAAGAGAGAGTCAGTGATGGCACAAACCCACATTAGTATATGCACATGCCTGGCATATTTCATCACATTATGTTAGATGCTCTGTGGAAAATGTGTAAGAAGGAACTTGTAACTCACGAGTGATGATACCCTCAAGGGAAACAAAACCACACATAGCAGACAAACAAAACAATGCGGTTGAAAGTGACAAACTCAGGTATTTGTTAGATTCATATCGGCATGGGTAGCAATGTTTGAAAATATAAATTCTTTGGCCAATCTCTCCTCCCCTACACCCCCCAGTCTGATCCATGCTTCAATGTCACCAAATCTATTCTGTTCATCAGTCTATTAAGCTCTTTAAATTCCACATATAAGTGAGATCATGTGATGTTTGTCTTTCTCTGCCTGGCTTATTTCACTTAGCTTAATATTCTCCAGGTCCATCTATACTGTCCCAAAGGGTACGAGATTCTTTTTTTTTTTTTATATAGCTGTGTAGTATTCTATGCTGTGAATGTGCCACAGCTTTTATATCCACTCATCTATGGATGGGCACTTGGGCTGTTTCCAGGTCTCGGCTATGGTAAACTGAGCTGCTATGAACATCGGGGTGCATAGATTCTTTCTGATGAGTGTTTCAGGATTCTTAGGATATATTCCTAGAAGTGGGGTCACTGAAGGACACAAACAGTAGTGTGGTGAGGGACTGGGGAGGGGG